TACAAACTGAAGTGAGGGTGTCGGCTGATGATAGCGCTCGGAGTCCGTTTGGTTCCGTGTCCCGCCAGCTGGAAGCGAGGGACTGTGAGGCGAGCAGCTTCAGAAGAGACAGACCTTTTTTTTCAGGTCGTTCCTCTTCCAGAGGGAGAGGCGATCGAACTGCTCGATGGACATCCCGAAAACGCTGAAGAACTCCTCCTGAGAGAGGTGCCTCTGCAAGGCGAGAGACAGCCACAATCAGAGAGAGAGCGGGAACAAAGAAGGCACTTGTCATTTTTCACCCTGCACCGACCCCACGCTGCATCTAAAACAACCCGACGCATTTTTCCAAGGTCGTCGAGCATCAAAGAGTTTATTAACGAAGCTGCCAAATATTAAATATGATTCTAGCGTTGTGGTCCTAAACAGCCAGCGGTCGATCATCTGAGAATATTTAAAGATAAGAGGAAGAAACATTCTCGCTCAGTCAATTTCAATAATTGTTTAATTATATAAAACAGAATTTTCTGAGATGTGACGGCCCGCCCTGGACCCTGGATGACTCTGTCCGGTCTTTAAGTGATGACGTATGAACCCTGCTTTGGTCCGAGCTACTCTGAGTTTATGAAGGCTGTTGTGTTTTTAACATGTTTTGTATCTTGTTCTATTTAATCTGAAACAGTCAGTGATCACTGTCGGCTTCTCTCAGTTTTTATTGCCGCTAATCATTTTAAAGCTCAATGTTTAAACCCTTCTGCTGTAGCTACAGCCCCTGCAGCAGTACATTAATGACTAACCTCGTATTGTATATGGATTATCTCAGTTGTTCTCCTGACTGAAGTTTGGTCCGTTTACAGCATCCTGCCATGGGACTGTATTTGTCTCTAACCATCAGGAACCTTCACGTTAACTTTTATCGAGTGGAACAAAGTTAGCGTTCATCCTCCAGCTTCACTGTGCTAATGTTATGCTAACATAGCTGTGTAGCTAGCGATCACGTAGCACAACATTATATACCAGCTAGTCCAACTACAAACGTCACTGCTGTTTAGTTTTCTGTCTTCATTTATGTTGGAAGTGATAGCAGAGCTGTACGTTTGAATTTTTCAGAAATCTCTCAGTCAGAACATGCTACATCATGTTTAGGTGGAAGCTAGCGAGCTAACTTCCTGCTAACGTCTAACTCTGTTAAATGTAATAAATTCTGTTTTCATGGATGCCTGGATGTTAAACTTTGTTACACCTGGTAAAGCAGCAACGCTGATCATTTTATTAAAGATGAAAGAATTTAGACAGTTTTTAACTCTCAGTGATGCTGCAGTGTTTGTGTGACTTTGAGACCTGAAGCGGAGTTTGGACCTGGAAACAGCTGATGACAGCAGACTAAAAGACCGGATATCGATAACGATGTGGTTTGATATCAGAACAGGTTCAGCAGCTCGAGTCGTACCGACAGAGACTTGGTCTTGTTTGTCATTTTTTTACCTCCAGCTGTGTCCGATCCACACCGGGGGGCAGTTTGCTGCGTCCTCTGTGAGTCACCACCAGCACCTCGTAGGGATAAACCTGCACGCAGACACGCAGAGGAGACGTGACGTGAGAACCACATTGTCCTTGTGTCCCGCTGAGGGGACGAAACAGCCTCACACATTTATCTGCTTGCTGTGCCCGAGTTATGTGGAAACAGGACATGTTTAATACATCCGCCCTGCTCATTCCATATTCTTATTCCATAAGGGCAGCTTTGCACGAGTGACAGTTCATAATAATCCTTCTTTATCTCACACTGACGCTCAGAGATACCCTCTATGACATCATAAAGATCCAAGAGTAGCTTGGCAGAGCTTCGGCAGCTCTACTTTCTGTACCTTGTGCTCCAGCATGCTGGGGAGAGAGTTCCCTCTGTCCATCCTCGAGTCCCCGTTCTGACACAAAAACAAACAGTATGATGAACACCGGCACCAATTATTCATCAGGAGTTTCTGCAAACAAGGTTAAAATAATGGAAAGTGTACCTGAAGCCCTGCAGAGACACAAAGAGACACAAACAGTTTCATTATTTTCTGTTACGAGTTCACTGATGCAGGAAAAAAGTCGAGTCTGAGAATGGACGTTTTGTGCTGATGTACAAGTTCAATTTTCAGCACAAAATGCTAAAATACTTCACAGGTGTAGTTTTACAGGTGTACAACTACACCTGTAAAATCCTGAACCTGAGCTTTAATGACGGACGTTTGTACCTGCAGCAGGTTTCTCCGAGGAGCTGAACTCGGCCGAGCGCAACTGCAAACAAACACAAACAGGTTGTTGTCTTCACTCGACTTCGTTGTCAAACCTCACAGCGAGTGTGCGGATACTCACCCTGGACAGGCCGCTCTTAGAGGGCGCTGGGAAATACACGAACCTGGAGGCGTTGGACCCTGCAGAGCAGAGGGGCGGGGCTGTGAGGGGGAAAGGAAACACTACACAACATGTGCATCAGTCCTTCCACCTGGAGATGTTTTGTTCTGAAAGGTCACGACAGTCACCTGTGACCAGGTGACATCACTTCCTGTTTCCACGATGCATCATGATGCCTTCACTGAAATCTGAACCTGAAACACTAAAACTGCAGTTTTTCAATTTGCACCAAAAGTTACAACAACTGATGAACGTTAAAAATGTTTTGCTGTTTAGAAATTTTACTTCCTCGTTCACTTTACTTTCTGAAAAGTGACGCTCATAAAATCAGAAGAATTTCAGGTTCAGATACTTTTACTAACAGCGCTTAGACTCCTTCAACTTTGCAAATTTTCTTCGTATTAAATGATATTTTTGTGGTTTTGTGACGTCTTTGTCACCATGAGTGACTATTGGTCTCCACAAAGTAGTGGTAGAATAGTTATGTTAAGCTATAAAGTTTGTGTCTTGCATATTTTCCACAACCAAACCCATAATCACATACTGTGTATTATCTTACTTACTTTATATTTCTTTGTATTTTTTGTATTTTCTTTCTGAAATCTGTACCTAACGCAAAAAATGTCAAGTGTGTGTGTGTGTGTGTGTGTGTGTGTGTGTGTGTGTGTGTGTGTGTGTGTGTGTGTGTGTGTGTGTGTACCGGCATTGTGGCTGTGCTCTGGTAAAGAGCGGGTTTTCCTCCTCAGAGGTGCTGCAGACTTCTCCAGCTCCTCCTTCAGGATGATTTTGCCCAGATTGGACTGAATCTGACACGAGACAGAAACAGAAGACGACTTGTAGTTGTAAAAAGCATAATAATATATTAAGTAAATGGCCTGCGTTTGTATAGCGCTTTACTTAATCCCTATGGACGCTAAAGCACTTTACACTACATTCAGTCATCCACACACACATGATGGCAGCTACCTCCAGGTCTGAAGAATCACGCTGCAGCTCCTCTGGTGTCCAGCAGGGGCCGCAGTGTCCCAGAGACTCCCATGTTAAACATGCTCACAGCCTGATACACAGACTGTTCTGTCTCTGTGGGGGATTTCCTCCTTCATAACAGCTGTTTATTACTCACCTGTTTAAATCCTATTAAGGCTTAAAGTTTGAGGGGCGTGGCCTGTTTGACTGACAGGTGAATGGTGACACAGGTGACTGTAGCTGCTAGCTGTCTGCTAAGCTTCACCTGAACGGGACCTCTGTGTTTTAATGACATCATGTGACCAATAACATGGCTGCTGTGAGGTCACAGCAGACTGAGCTCAGCTGTTGGGAGAAATTCGAGGATTTGACTGATTAGCGGGTCTCTGTGTTTGACTCCGCCCTCCAGCTTCTCATGGTCACATCTCGTTTTTAAAAAGGCGAAAGAGGAGCCAACGTTAGACAGCAAAATGCAAAGTGCCCAGAATAACAGCTCGTGTTCATCTTTTGTATACAGTCTGTGGGACGTGCAGAGTGACACAGCCGGTTCTGCAAACAGACGTTTCTGACGGAGCTGAAGTGCTCTTCAGGAAAAACGTGGCTTTTATTTTGAAATGAGCCGTGCCTCTAAAGGATACACACGACAGTGAAAGCACATTTAAAGCTGTTTAACCCGTGCACAGATTATGTCTGCACACATTCACATCTCCATGATGAAGTCAGTGTTTTCAGTCTCCCACCAACCAAGCAGCAGCTGACGCAGCAGCAGATCTCATGCTTTATTCATCGTACTGTGAGAGTTTTTAAAAGCAGCTTCTTGCATGTGAATATTTCCTGCTTTTCTGACAGTGAAGGTGATTTTTGGTGATTCCTGACCAACTTCAAACTGCTGCAGCTCATCTGCACCTGCAGCTGGCTCCGGGTCTCCCACCTTGTTCAGCTCTTGCTTCTGAAGCTTTCTGAGTCCCCACAGCTCATCATCCAGCTCTCCATCCTCCTCCTCCTCCTCCTCGACTTTCTGCTCCTTCCTCTTCCATTCCTTTTCTGCTGAGAGGAGAAGAGTTATGGAAAGGAGAGAAGAAGAGAGGAGACAAGGGAACGGTGAGACGAATACGTGACAAGAAGCAGGAATAATCAGGATTTAAAGCCAGACGTGATTTTAGATGAAAACCTGGAAAATCCCACTTTCGTAATGAACTGTAAATGTAGCACAAGGTGCGTCTCATTGATCAGAGTGTGTGTATGTATGCATTTGTTTAAACATCATTGTGAGGACCAGAAATTGCCATGCAACTATAGTTGTGGGGACTAAATGCTGACGAGTCTGAAGCATGTTTGAGGCTCAAAGTGTAAGTGTCAGAGTTACAGTTAGGCCAGAGTGAGCGGCTAGCATCGTGTCACTTAGATGTCCTCACTAAGATATGAAAGCACGAGTGTGTGTGTGTGTGTTTGTGTGTGTGTGTGTGTTTGGGTCGTACCAATCACGGCCAGCGAGGGGGGGCAGGGCCAGTAGTCGGTCTCGATCTTGGAGGGCTGGTTCGGGTCTGGAGGCTGAGCTGCAGGAAACTTTGAAGACTCGATGATCAAATCCTCGATGTGTTTCCCCTGAGGGACCGAAGAGGACGACACATCTGTGCACACACACACGCACACACACACACACACACGAGCACACACATGTTAAAGCAGATTAAACACAGTGAAAGGCGGCGTGCTGTTCACAGGACAGCGGCTGACCCACATTCACTCTGTTTTCATTATGTTCAGCGATACATTTATTGCAGCTTTTATTCTGAAATCGATTTGAACCTCAGTGACTCACCCTGTTTGTAGATGGGAGGCTTCTTGTAGATGTTGGTACCATTTTCTGAAAACAATAAAATCACATGTGTGACACCTGTGCTCTTCTTTGCTTGCTAAACAATAATTACTGGTTCACAGCGTGAACATGAGCTCCAGAGGACGGCACATCTGGGACTTGTTGCACTTCTTGGGTCTGACTGAGTTTCAGGTGCAGATCTTTTCGTTGGTTAATGACGTGTGGTCCAAGTATCACAGCACACCTGACTGGTGGTGCATGTACGGTGCAAACTGGACTCTCTGAGTCAGCACAGTGGGACATAGAGAACTCCAGATGTGGACCTAACGTCATCAGCATCTGCAAGCGGTCTGTGTGCTCACAAATCAACTAATAATCCCAATAGTTGTCTTTTCTGGTCCTGACATTAGCAGCTAGCCCGTCTCAGACGTGGATGCTGTGCTGACGAATCACTGAAGCTCATCTGGGAATCTCTGAATTTCTCGTTGTAGCCCCTCCCACAGGGTAAACACACGTGTTTGAAGAAATAAGTCACCTGATGGAGATGCTGTTGCTAACTGGGTGAAAACCTAGCTGATGGAGCTACATCTGCACCCTTCAGTACTGTTCCCCACAGTCAGTGGGGTGAGTCCGGCTTGTGGAAGCTCGTGTTTACCTGGCCTGTGGAAATGCTGCACGGTGCTCTTCACAGTACCAGATGAGTGTGCGTTGGGTGTGGTTGGTGTGTTTGGCGTTGACGGGGTGTGTGCGCTGTGGGTTCTGGTGCTCGGGATGGTGGAACCAGGCGAGGACCCTCCAGGTGATCGGCTCTCGAGCCACTCCCTTGTCTCCTTGGACAGATTCTGGAAACACAGAAGACGGTATTTTAAAAGCGTGTCGGTGGGGAAATGTGAAGGCAGAGCCGGTGATCCTCCTCAGAACCTTCTAATGAACATGCAGGGCATCCCCATGAGGACTTTCTAAGACATGATGCCAACTGCATCGACACGACCATCAAAGCAAGACCTCCTCCATTACTACCACTACTTAATGGTCCTCAATCAGAATTAGAGGCCTCTTGAACCTTTACAGAGTAAACCTTGAAGACACGGTCGTCCCTCATTAACCAAAGAACCTCTTTTAGTGTTAGTACAAGCGCCTAAGAGACCTTTAGGATCTCCTGATTGAGAACTAGAGCCTCATTTAAAGATAACTTATGAGAAACTACTTCACATGACTTCAACCTCCTCGAGGATTCCTTGAACCAACACTTTACAGCCTTAAAAGAAACGCAGTGACTCTTAGGACGCGCCTCGTCAATGCTCTAAATGACCAACAGAGTCAGTGTGAAGAAGAGCTACCCAAAATATGACTATAAGTAATCTGAGTATGCCTGGAAGGATGCCGTCCGAACCGATTACTGCAGCCTCGTAAGCCTCAAACAAAGAACTTCACACACATCATCCCTAAAATGTTCGAAAGGTTGTTTAGAAGCTGAAACCTGTAAAAGAAGCATCAAACCTTCTCAGTGACCACTGGGATGTATACGACCTCCTCGCTGACATCATCATTTCTGAGGTTCCACTATGTTCCTGACTACAACCTCGTTAAACATGCCAACATTAATGTTGAGATGCTTCAGCGTCAGGATCACTTTCACAGAAGCTGGTCTGAGACAACAACAGGACGATGTTGTGCTAATAACAACCCATCACAGTCACACGCCCACAAAGCATCTGAGATCTGCTTCTGTCATGAGACCCTATATTGTCTGCATTTCCATATCTCACTTTCATTGTAGGGCTCTGATCTGACCTTTGACCTCATCACTAGTGCTTGTTTTGTTGCAAAGGTCTCTGAGTGTAAACAGGAAGAAACTAATATAAACTATATGATGATATGTAAAGAAAGAATGGGGGGGGGGTCTTACCTCTGGGGAGGGAGGAGGAGAGATGGAGCGAGGAGACAAGGACCTCTGGGGAGAAAAAAGCAAAAATAGATGAAACGCTCGAAGCTAAAAATAGATTCAGAGAATGAAGACGAAGCTCCACAAACACAAACTCTGCTTCTGACACTGAAGTCGTTTCTTTTTTTAAAACGATTGCACCAAATGTAAATAGTTGGGTTGCGGTCACGTGGTTCTGATGACGTGCGGAGGCAGCGCGATTTTTGAGTGGAGGGCGGAAGTAAACATGGAGGACACTG